CATCTCATACAGTCATTAAAAATGTATAAGTAGTTTCAGAAGCAAGTTGCTTCCTCTGAGAAGCAAATCGTCCATAATTCTGCTTGGTATTTAGAGACTTTTATCTCCAGAGAGAACTCAAAACTATTCGGTATAGTCTTGATTTATTTTATTCTCTTGAATTTTCAGAGCTAAAGATGAAAAAGGGCTTAACAGAAAAAGAATTACATACTTGTGCTGTGCAGAGAGAAGGCAGGCGCCAGCCCATGATCCACCAGCTATTCAGCACTTCACGTACCACCCTGAAGAACCTACGAAACTCTTTTGTAGCCAGCCCGCTCCTTTTGGGGGTAGCAGGTTCAGACTGCTTTATAAACTGCTGTCCATCAACCAGGCTCGCTTGCCTGTACCACACCACCAGGACAATAAAGAGGAACCATTAATGCGAGAGCTGTCAATGTATAGGCTGACAAAATTTCTCATGTTCTTGGTGGAAACTTCAGTAAAGGAAGTTGGTTTGATTTATTTCCAGCAAGCTGTGGTGAGGGTGAGTTGGGATAAGTCATTTTCACATGCCCGAGACTTAGTGCAGCAAGTTGCTAAATATCCTTGTTCTCTTAAGTGTTTCCTTGGCTTCTAAGGCTTCCTGCTTTGTGTTGCATGAAAAAAGAATGTCATCTTCCTTCCCTCTCTGTGTGGCATTTCAGGCTGCACTGGAGTTGATACCCCAGTCGTACCTGTGATTCATTACTGCACCTGGGCAGAAGGCATGTGTTATGGCTTCTCATGGGGAGATGAGAGAGAGACAGATGCACCTTGCAGCTGTAAGGAAGCAAAAGGTGTTGGGAGGATGGCTAGCTCAGCAAGGCAAAAATTACTTTACAACGAAGGGGTTTGAACTGTGTTTACCACCCTTTCGTGCCTGAATGCAGAGAGTAGGAGGCAGGAGGAACTTGGGGACTGGGGAGATGGAGAGCCGCGAGGACTGAAATACCTTTGTTCCTTTGAGAGTAGAAACCTTGGTGTTATGCTAGGAATAAAAATCCTCTCTCTCTTTCCCCTCTCACCCTACGTCTTGAATTCCAGTGTCTGTTCCCATTGCTCAGTGGCACAGACGTGGTGGTGGGGAAGTGTTTTTGTGTTGCACTCCCTGGGTATTTTGCAAGCACTTCCATCAAACAGATGGTCTATGGGTACAGGTTGTAGGAGCCTGTGTAGTTCTGCTGTTTGGCGAACCCCAAGGTGTATTTATATTGCTGACAACTGTTCCTTGGGTTCGTGCTCAAAAATCAAAGTACTGGTAAGCCGTTCTTAGCAGTGGGTAATGCGTTAGGTGAACGCAGCATCCCTCTGTGCTCCATGTTCTAGGTAATTACAACCCTGCCGCTCACATAGCAGAGCACAGCGGGTGCCCTGTATTTATTATTGAGCTTTGCTATTAACTCTAAGCTGGTGATGCAAAGGCAGCTGCTTTGTTGGGAATCTCATAATTCGCCTCTTCACCAAACCAGGCTGCAAACAGGAGGGGGTAGCCTTGAGGTCTGTCCCTCAGAGCTAAAAGACATGGGACCCTTTCCCAGACCTTGGCTGTTCATAGCTTGCCTGGAGTGAGTACCCTTGTGCAGTTTGTCTTTGCAGAGTCTAAAATGAGAGCCACCCATTTTGGCATGGTGATCCCATAGTGCTTTGGCAGAGAAGAACAGGGATGTTAACTCCAGCATCCTCCTCAAATGGCAGGCAGGCGTTTCCCTTCATTGCTTTGGCCGGAAAATGTTTTTCTTTATCTGCCTTTCCTTGCCCTAGTCCAGAGGCACAGTTAGGCTGCTGCCCTGCTTTTCCCTCACAGTGGCTGCCTTTTAGATGCAGATATAAAGTCTTTGCTGCAGGTGCAATCATTGTATTTATCTGCACAAAGACGTGATCTTAAAACTCCTTTCCAGATGATATTAGATGGATGCGGCCAATGTTACGGAGGAGAAGTGCACACTGGTGGAGGAGGAGAGGGTTACTGCTTTGGCACTGATATCTTCTCAGGCCTGGCTCTTTTTGCATCTCTGACCTCTGTGTGCGGTTGCTTCTCTTATTCCTTCTCATTTTGTGTAAGAAATGCTGACGAGTCAGAGTGTTTCCCCCACCTTTCCCTGGGACCGAGCCATACCCCATGTTCTGTCGATCCCTACGCCCTCCTTGGCGAGTGCTGTGGGCAGCCGCGGTGCCCAGGGAAGGGGCAAGGAGAGGGAGCGGGCTGGGGGGTGCGGGCATGCTGCTAAAGACAACAGTGCAGTGCAAAGCACCGAAGGTTTCTGCTAGTTTCTGGTAGAAACACCTTTTGATGAGTTGCTCTTTTGAGCAAAGAGGCGATGTGTCAGTGGCTGGCAGAGTGCAGCGGGGCCATGGTGGGGAAACAGCAGGGACGAGCAATTGCTGGTTTTCTCAGTTGTGTCTCAAGATGCGTTTGGAGCCTTTCTCTGCCCCTCTCCCTCCAATGGCTCTAGTAGCCTCTTCTAGACTGCCTTGGCCAGGCAGGAGAGGGCAGTGGAGGAGAAAGAAGGCAAAACACATCTTGAGGTCCTATATCAGATGCTTTGCTAGTCAAGATGTAGCTGTTAATTGCCACCGGCTGGCCGGGGCTGCTCAGGACGTTTTTTTCACTGAAAGCATGCCTAGGATAGCAGTGCAAGAAGGGGGACCTAAAGGAGCAGAACAAGACTGAGAGTCTTGGGGAATGGCTTTGGAGCCGATCCTAAGCGCGATGCAGCTCCTTCTCTGGCTCTGCAGGGAAGGTTTGAGGGGGGATGTGTGTGTGTCTGTGTGCGACTTCAGTGCTGCAAGCGCCGGTTCCCCAGCCTGGGCTGTAATACCAGTGTGAGTTAATCTGACGTGATCCTGCTGTTTTGTCAATAACTTGGAAAGTTTTGAAATAACTGCTTCAAAGTGCTCAAATGATACATTGCTCCACAATCTGCCTCTGCTGCTGCCAATGCTTCTAAGTAACCAATTTACCATGCGCTTAACCTTTTAGGGCTTTTCCTCCCTAGGCATTAGTCTGTAACTCCCACTAAAAAAAAAGAGAAAATTGCCATTGCCCTTCTCAGAGGTGGCTAATGATCTCCAGGTGATTTTTGGCAGCTTCTGCTTTTTAAAAATATGTTGAGCACACAGCTTCTGAAATTGGGATGCTTTTCAAATGTCCAACTGACATTTGAGCATGGGGTCCCTCAATTTTCTCGAAACTGGGAGAAATGGGGCTCAGAAGGCAGGGCTGCTGGTGGGAGCTTCCCAAGCGAGACATGATCCAGAAAGAGATCAAGCCTCAGAGAGTGGAGATGTGCAGGGGCTCCCTGCTCAGCCCCTGCATTGCCTTCGTTTCTACGGCCACGTCTCAATATTCCTTCTCCTTCCCTTCCCTGTCGGTAAAAAGGGGATAGCCCCCCTGGGGACTGCTGAGATGAGATGGAGGAGATCTAAATGTAATATAAAAATAGGTGAATTAAAAAATTGCAAATAAAAAGCTACATCTTTCTCAAACAAGACTCCTGGTAACTTCAAAGGTAGATTAAAGACTTTGCCTGTGTCAGGACTTCCATATTTGGCGCAAGAATTAGACAAATGCAATAGCATGAGAATGTTTGCCAGAAAATTGGAGAAGGGAGAGATAAGTTAACACATGAAATACTCAAAGTCAGCATTTAAGGACATTGCTACCTGTGGAGATAATTTTATCAACTTGAGGGACAACCATTTCTCCTATAAAGTAAAATCTACCCTCTACGTAGCTGTTTAAAATGGCATTTGTTAAAAATGTGTTTAACTGTGCTGTGGGAGTCTGCTGTGGGACAACCAGATCCAATATCTGTACTAATGATAGGTTTGTGGATTCTCCACCTACTGCTCTTCATTTTGACGGTGTTTCGACTTTGAAAGTTAGGCCTCTGCGTGTTGGGGTGGTGTTACCTTGTAAGAGGAGAAAAAAAAATGGTCCTGCTCTTGGTCTTGTCCTGAATCCCCTTGCATGTGAAAGGGAGACAAGGAGGTGGTGACTGTCATTGGGGCTGGAGCAGTACAAAGAATTGGTTTCTAGTTTGGTGGCCAAAGTGACTCTCTGTCTCTGACTCCCATCCCTCAAATTATGTTTTGATAGGAAAATTTTTTGTCTTATCCTAAAACCAGAAGTCAGTGTTATATATTAATTTGCAAGCTGCTTCGAGTAAAAAAAAAAAAAAAAGGAGGGGGGGGGGGGAAGAGAAAAAAAAAAAAAAAAAAAAAAAAAAAAAA